GTGAAGAGATATCATATAATGTATAGTAATCAAGCCATCGTATCTGTAGAGAAGATCATGTTTGAAATATCAAATTACCAGAAATTAAACATCTCAAAGGATTAATGAAAGGCTATGCAGTCATTCACTTCCAGGACATCAGGTTCAATATCAGCTTAGTTTAATAGTTGTAATGAATTTATGTGCTGGAGATAACAATTCTCTATAAGCATTCATAAATCAGGGTAAGAACTCCTGACTCATGTACCAAGAACAGCAGCCTTTAACTAGCACAGCCAGAACAACGTAGTCAGGAATAGTATGCTAGGCCTCTGTTTGGTATGGAGTATCCATGAGATCAAATAATACATTTAGTGGATGTCTGCAATAAGTTTAGGCAGCAACCAGGAACACCAGAGACACTCAGTCAGTTGCTTGAGGAAATTCCTTCCACAGATCTGCCAATAACCGCCAACCCCAACAACAAAGTTATCACAGACAGAACATGCAACTCAATCTCTTTTATTCTACCTATCTAAAAGTCCATTCTGCTTATCCTGATTCTGATCCTGCAGCTCTTGCTGCTTCTAGCAGAGGCACTTGCAAGAACATCAGAAAAAGATGGAGGGGGAAGAACTCTGTAGTCAACTTTTACGCAGGGTCATCTTACAACTAATATGAGAGTAAATCCACAGCAAATTCAGATTTTGCAGAGGAATCATGAATTTGAAAGTCTCCACTTGTTTGAGATTAAATTACCACGATACCAGCAGATTTAGGAATCAGCTCCTGGGTGATGATGGACAATAAACAAACAACTATCGGGTTACACATACGATATAAAGTAGTTAAGAAACAGCTCAGACAAGAACAAATAACCATATCTTAGTCAAATACGCATAAAGAGGTCCATCCAACCCCTGTAGATAGATACCAAAAGATGACAAACTGCATAACAGAATTTTCCAAAGCTTATCATTTTAATTTCCTATTAGGAAACTGTGATTTTAGACACAAATATCATAAGCAGTGTGTTGTAGTGAATGAGAGAATGATTCAGAACATCAGAGTTCTAGACCCAGCTTTTTCACTGATTTTCTGTGAAGCTTTGGTAAAGTCACTATCTTAACTGTGCTTCAGTATCTCCAATAAAAGTCAGAAAGTTCACCTATGCAGGCATTATGGAAAACTTTAATAGTATTTATGAGGTGCTTCTGGAAGTTATCTGGAAATGCAAGTTATTGCTATTAGTCCTTACGGAGTGTGACTACACCCATACTACGCACTATGGATTAGAATGTTAAAGAAGTCGCAATATATTGCTGATGGAAAAGTTTTATTCTACTACCTATGTTTCCAACTACATCCTTGTCATCCCGTTTACCCTTCAAAAACTCCAAGAGCTGAAAAAAGTACAAGGAGTTTTAGCAGAGAGAATTTCGATGGCAGTAAAATAGTTTACAACTGAGTATTATACTGGAAATACTTTTTGAACCTGAGATACTAATACTACACAGTGAAAAAACTGTGGCAGTCTAGATAATACACGAAAAAGGCATCAGACTTGCAAGTTTGTCTCTCTTTTAATGACTACAAACAGAATTCAAAAACAAAGAGCGTTCTAACAGCTCTTTGCTTTGCTTTCTTGGCACTTACATATTTCAAATCAAATACTTCAAAAAGAGCATTATTTCAAAAAATAAAAAAATAAAATTATGTCAACAGGAGAGACAAAAGTTACAGGGAGCCATTTTTATTACAGAAATGCCTTCTACACACATGCCCTGCTTGTCAAATCTCCTAAGACTCCCAGTATAGTAAATGCATAGTAGAGATTAAGTGTGACCTGTATACCTAATATAATCATTGTCTAAGAAGCTGGAGGAGCACAACATGCAGTACTGGCAGTAGAAATGTAGAAACGTTTTTACCAGTTCATCTTACCTTATTCCCTTTACCCACTATTCTTCCTCTTGTGATGATATGCATTTTTCAAGTACTGAATTCCTTCAGGTAGATTTCTAGCTCTATCTTTCCTGTAACATACTAAGCTATACAACTGCAATGCAAAGTTCCTACAGCTTGTTAGAAGCTTGTAACCACAACATTCTCCTAAGGGACATAATTTGAAATGAATTTCCTAAGGACTTAAAATAATTATATTTTCTTTAATCAAAATAGTGCAACTTCTGCTAACATTTCTCAAACCTGTGGAAAGCAAGAATATTTGTTTTTGTTAATTTTTATCTGTTCAAGAAAGTAACTGAAAATACTTCAGCAATGTAGGTAAATGCGATGTATACTATTTAGCAAGCATTTAAGGCACAAGAGCCCACCAAGAGGCAGATAAGCACATGGCATTTTCTGTGTTGGACAGCCAAGAGAAGCAGAGAGAAAGGAGAACTCCTTTCTAAAGCACTTGACAAAGTACTAGGGATAATTCAAGATGTAAAGTAAAAAATGAAATTTTCAACGCTCCACTACAAACTGCAGAGTTTTAGGTTAGAGGCTTTAATCTCTTGTGTGTGTGTTTTATATATCTAAATATACATATACATACCTATATACACACACATACATGTATGCACATCTGTGTATAATGTTTATAAGGAGAGAGTTATCTTTTATTAGACCAATAGAATTAGAAAAAGCACATAAACTCTTTAGTTGGTCTAATATCAGCTATTACCTCTCCCTTGAAAACCTGTCTCCCGACTCTTATCTCATTAGACTACCATGGCTACAAGAGCATTTCCACACAAACTAAAAAAAATCTTCTCTGTTGAACTTTAAATTTGCATCCCCAACATTCTACTCTAGGACCTAGGCCACTTAAAATAGACAGTAGAAATATGAAACTTGTGTAGTTTCACACTGAATCTTGAATGCTATAAAAACTATTCTATGTTCTCCCTAGTCTTAACAGACATAAACATCAAGCTGCATGTCAACCAGGAACCCTCGATAACGAAACAAGCTTTGACACTGCAGCGAGAGAGAGGCAGCAGCATTGCAGCCTTGGTGTTGCAGTATAAAGTCCGCAGGGAAATCTAAATGGTGTATTTTTCTGTTTACCTTCAGGTGACAACGTCCAAATGCTTTAACACATCACTGAACATCTGTTACAAAAACTCCTGTCACTAAGAATAAAAATGGATGGATGAATAATGGTCAGGCTGGACTTTCCGCCTCTTGCCAGTAATATTGAGGAGAGATTTTAAAACAACTTGCAAGCAATATGCAGCCAATCTAGACCTATATAATTAGGCCTAGAATCATCAACACAGTCAATATCAACACTGCAAACGTATCAGCTGACCTCCAAACAGAGGTAAGTTGGGTAGTTGCTATCATTTCTCAAAGGACCTTGGTTCTTTGACTGAAGTCAGTAAAAGAATTACTGGTTTCACCACCTGTTTTTCAAACTATGGATTCACTGACAGCACTGAACACTTTTTTTTCTTCACTTTTTCAATCTTGCATTCTGATTAAATTGAAGAAATATGATAAGGTCCACCTCTTCCATAGAAAATAAGGACATTTCAAAATATCATACATTGTCAAAACTGTTGAATGCCCCTTAACCATAAAACACTACCATACATGAAGCAGATTTTTCTTCCTGCATATAAACTTTATTTTAATACAAAGTGAGTAACAACAAAGCAAATAGCAAATAATCCTGAACAGATAAAAGAAAAGGATTTCCTTTTTTGTTTTTACTTGCTCCTGCCTCTTTCTATTCCTTCTTGCAAGATCAGCATACAATATTTTCATCAACAGGAAAGCAAGGATTTCTCAATCAGTTGCAAATAAAAGATAACATGCTGACTATGCTGGCTTCTCCATCAGCATTAGCTATCTTGTGCATACTCGTCTCCACAGTAAAAGTCACGTTTAGCGAGTGGGGTGTTTTTTGTTGCCTTTTTTTTTTTTTTTTTTTTTACCTGAATAAGAGTGCTGTGTCCCCTCACTAGATATTGAGGATGTTCCTCCAATTCCCCTTTTAGCATAGGGCATAATTCCTAAAGCTGTGCAGGTAAAAAGTCTTGTTATGTTTGTCTACTATCTAATACATTTCCATAGCACCAATCACTGGTATCCAGACTGATACGTCCAGATCTACTGCCAAAGTAAATCTGGCCTCTGACGAGGCATCTCGATCGTTTAAAAAGGATAGCATAATCGTCCTCGCAAAGCATTCTAGCACTACAAACTGTGGTTCTTATTCAGCATTTCTTAGAAGAAAGACTTCCTTGGAAAATCATTTAACTATTCTTTTAAATTGAACTTTGTGCAACGCTTTTAGGTTGCTTTGAAGAGAAACGTTGAATCAATCTATATTCTAAAATGCCTTAGAAAGAAGAAGAATCCCAGCAGTAAACCCACATAATTAAGTGTGGGCGTATCCAGGCCATAGGCTATTTTACTGCATCTCAGCTTAGAATGCTTAAAAATACTATATGTGGAACAGGCAATATGTTCTCATCATTATTTCTCAAATGAAGCTGAACAGATCTAACCCAAATTATAGCAAGGTAAGCCAGATAAGTTAAGTGATGAATACTACTTTCCTCTCTGCTCTAAGGATCCCTCTGGCTCATCTGTCCTGTGATCAAGGTGAGCCTGATAAAGCTGAAAACTACACTGCGTGACTGGATTGTGTGAGATTATTCATCAAGGCTTACTAAAAATAAATCGCTTCTTGGGGTAAAGATAATAAGAAACTTTCTTCTCCAGTGTGGGCAGGGCTCCTTATTGTTTTGAGTGGGAGATCACAAGAAAGAAACATAGAATATGAATAGCTAATGTTCTTTATGGTTCAAAGACAAACTTGCCTTAAAAGACAGACCTTCAGGGACAATGAGTTTCATAAAAATTGGATATTACTATCAAGAGTTTGTAGGTTTAACTGTAAGAGTTACTGGCACATCTTCCACTTTCTGAGTGTGAGACAAATCCAGTTTTGATTTTGTAAGATCTTGCTTTGTAGAATTTTGGGTTTGTTGATCTTTAGATGATTCCAGGAGATGTTGCATGTTAAGTCTGAAAATGAGGCGAGGATCGGGTCCAGAAAGAGATGGGCAATTGCAGCTCTCTCTTACTTTAAGAGCCTGTGAATACATAGGAAAATAAATCAAGCTCACTTAAAAAAAGAAAAACAAAATTTCAGTCAGTTGTTTAGCTTTCCAGTATGGTCTACATTCGCTACCTAAAGTTTAGTGAGTATGATATTAAAGTCAACAGAGTTGTTATCAAACAGTTTTTCAAGAGAAATCAAGAATTCTTGGGAAGAAAGGTAACATTTGATGTGGTATAACAATGAAAAGAATGAAAGAAGATGAATGAAAAAATGTTTTCTCAGCCAGTCTCCCAAAGAATGGATGCTCTAAGAAGGACCACGTAGGCAAATATGAAGTTTTTGAACTATGTCATGTGACATTCGTTCACAGCAGTACCTTTCTCCCATATTCACATGGGAATTAAAATGACTCAAGAAAAAAGGATTGAGAGTAATCTACTTCATCAGATAGGTTTCATTATTGAAATAACTGCATATACGTATCTGACTCAAAAGAGGAGGGGAAAAAAAAACGTCAGTAACATAACAGACATGTAACTGTTTAGCACAGAGATCCAGAGGGTCAATCAATATAGTCAAGGTCCAGTTGCACAAGTGATCTCATCTCCAAGAAACATTTGAACACACAACTCCCAAGTGTTCCCAGAAAAAAAATGTTCCTAGAATATAAAAATATATCTGGATTAAGAGATGAGCACTAGGAAATCAAACTTTAATTACTTCTGCTCACTAAAGAATTAAAGCATCACTATTTCCATTTTACAGATTAGAAAGTAGAGGCACAAAGGAGTTAAAGGATTTCCCAGAGTATCAAAATCCCTTAGCACAGTCTTCTTGCAGTCCCCCCCCTGCTTTGTGTTCTGGTTCACAGATCACCGTGCCTTGTAGGCAATCTGAGAAAGGCATGAAAAGAGATGAATCTCATCACTCAAAAGTATTGTGAAGAAACTGATACAACATAGTATAAACAGTCCCCTGTTTTAAAGGGCACTCAAGTTGGTGTCCAATTTAATGAAGTTAAACATACTTTCACTAGCCCACACAAACAGGCAGCACGTTTTATAGCTAAAAACAGATACCACAGAACTCAGTTGGGTGTAGTACTTTCCAACCAGTTGTCTACAGACTCACTAATATCCATGGATTCTCAAATCCACGTAAGCTAACTTGCATAAGCAAGTTTCTATATGTTACATAGAGAACTATTATTTGCAGGATTTTAGAGGGTTCTACATTTCCCCTGAGAACTATTTTTTCAAGACTTGCAAAATGAAACACCAAAACCCATTGGTTTAATGAAACAGCACAAAAAAGAAGTCAAAATCTAATCTGATATTTAAGCATTAACCAGTGTCATGGTCACTTTTGTGTAATGTTAACTGTATCTTAGTCTCAGTTAAAAGTATACTCCTGTGGGCAGATGAGCATCCAGTTTTATTTTTAATCTTTTCATGGGAAAGTAAGTTTGTATGTATACTTTACTCCATTTTCCTTCATAACCGGGCGTTCTTGAACAGTAATGGTGATAGCTGTCCTGAGCTGTAGACAGGTGCCTGCTGACCAGTATTGGGGACTGTGTCAAAACGTGTCAGGGATTGTTAATTTGCTCTGGATGGATGAAAGAGGAGGAGGAAGGTAACAGTTTTCACAGCATTCCTATCACTGCACTTAAAGCAAATTCAAATTCCGCCTTATTTTTTTTAATGTACTAGTTTTGGCTATACCTGTTTAAATATACCTTTACCTAATAAATTATACCTATTTAAATTTAAATAATGCAGAGTCTATGCAGATACAGTTGTTTGCCTGTAACTCCCTATATGGCAGGTATCCTCCCTTTCCAGTGCACCTATGCAGAAAGATTGGCTCATCATTCTAAAGCTATTTCGTACCTTTTCACCAAAGACAGTGAGTGGGAGCAGCTTACTGCAACTTTTTAAAATCGAAGAACAGTACCTCTTAACTAATCTCTTTGTATAAGGAGGTACCAATACATATTTCTCCCTAACTTTCATACAGTAAACTGGTAAGAATTTCTTGCAAATGCCTAGAAACAAACAGAATTAAAAAGCAACAACCAGTTTTTAGAAAAAGGCACATTCCAGAAACATAACAAGAGTTTTCTCAGCTGTCTATTGCTGAAACATAATGTTTACGTCACTGGATACACACGTCTGGATTAGGCAATTGTCTAGCTCTTTAAAACAGTAAGAATAATGCTTTCAGTATTTGTTTTTCTATAAAGGTGACGGTCCATGTAGTCATCAAATGTAACCATACCTCTGAACTCTCTTCTGCTTCAGTGACCAATTAATTTCTCAACTGACATTTATGACAAATCAAAAGTTTTCCCTTGTTCTCTTCCAGAACATAAGCTGCTGCAAGACTGCATTAATGTCAAGCAGCATTATTCAAGGCAAATGGAAGTATAAAGATTTAGGCTGTATCCTGGAAAGTGCAATGTAATCCTCTTTTAAACTAATTTAGCAATTTTAAATCTCTGGTTTTCTTGGCTACACAGTGCCTGGCTTATTTCCGTGGTTTCACTTATTTAAAATACCAAAGTCACCACATCAAAGGTCAAAAACAATACTTCAGTGTTAACACTTTTACCCTGTGGATCTCTTTGCTTTCTTGCTACACATAAAGCTGTCCAAGAGGGAAGGAGGTGCCAGTTTAACACATCAACTCATATGCCATTAAAGAGACTATAGTCCGAGAACAAAAAGCTATGTTAACATATCATCTCACTGTTAAAGATAAATATGACTACACACTCTAGTCAAAGTAGTCTTCAGATGCATGTTTGCGAAGGGTATGAGAGTTTTAACCCTATGTAGTTGGTGTTCTTCATTAGCTCAGTTGGCTGCTGCCATTTTGTTTCATGCCTGCATCACTGTAGCATCATTAAGACGACAGTAACTGACTGAGGAGCTCACAGTATACTTTTCCTGAAAGATAAAACAGCCCGACATGGTCAGCCATATGGTACTTTCAAAATCACTAACAACTTCAAATTCAGTAATTCAATATTGCTTGAGCAATTTGGTTTTCAGTATTTAATCTTGACAGTTTGGGCAGGAGGACAAGTAAAGCATTCTTAATGAAGCACGTGCATATGAATGTTTCACTGACTGTGTACGCTGAAGAGTGCTATGAATAAAGAAGATGGACAGAACTGAGAGAAGGTTAACTAGCTAGAGTGAGTACACAGATGCACCTGGGAAATGAGAGTACTTTAACGCTGATCTTCTCAAGTTAACGTTAAGACGAAAGTACTGCTGTTCAGAATAAAGACAACCTGCACGCTTACAGGCTCAGAAGTTCTCAAATGATAAAGCACTTGAATTTTTGCTTGTAAGTAGCAAAGGTGAGGCAGCTTCTTATCAACATGATTGCAATTGCCTCCTGCAATGTGCTGGAAGCGGGGAGAGGTAGGAATTAGGGAGGCCTGCCTCATCCTATTGCTTTCATATAAAACCTACCAGTACAGACAAACATAGGAAACAAAATATTTAGCTGTCTTGATTTCTTCAGTACTGTCACAGATTGAGGCTAACCGCATCTCAACCCTTTACAGTCTTTCTGAGAGCATCCTAACTCTGCTGCTAGCTTTCTCGGGATAAAAGTCACATCATTCTCTTGTCCTCAAACCAGGCCAGGGGTTATAGTCTCTTGTATATTAACTATGATTACCTCTGTAGGGCTGACTTATGTGCTGACCTTGCAATTCTGACAAAAATAAAGGAAAAGTACAGGATGTAGGGGATTAAAAAAAAACAAACAAACAAACAAACAGAAAAGCTGAGTTGCAAAATGAATTACAATTAGCAAGGAATACGGAAGACAACAGGTTCTATAAATAAAATAGCAGTAAAAAGATGATAAAAGAATGGATAGGTCTATTACTGGATGAAGAAGAAAAACAAATGATATATAATGCTAATACTTCAAATCTTTCACTGCTTTAGTTGGCACAGGAAAGGAAAGCTGTGACAAAGTATTCAACAGCTTTATGAATAGGATAGAAACATGGGTCAGGATTTTTTTAATTTTTATTTTCCTGTTTAGTAAGTTTTCATATTGATAGGGATTAAACAATATAATCTCAGAGCACTTATAGAATAATCTGGAAGTAACCTTCAAATCATTAGGGATTAGCTGCAGGTCCCAAAGAAAAGGGCAAACATACCACTTCCTCTTTGAAAAGGAAGAAAAATAAAACTACCTTCAATATGCAAAATGACCCCAGATTGAGGGATAAACAATAACTATCCAAACAATAATAAAAAGTGATAGATAGCCAATATGGATTTGACAAGAACAAATCTTGACAAAGCAAATCAATTTACCTTTAAAAAAAAAAAAAAGTTAATTGGCCCAGCAAACAAACGAGAAGCAGTAGAGTGACCTATCCCAACTTCTCAACTTAGTAAGACTTCTGAAATCATCACAACATGGCATTTCCACAAGAAAATTTGGAAAAGAGAGTTATAGTCAATCAGAAACAAAATCTGAGTCAACAACATGATGCCAAAAAGTGAATATCGTGTCAGGATGAATCCTTGCATCACTGACAACGCACAGGAGATAATCTTCTGCTTTATTCAGTATAGCTGAGGCTTCAGCTGATGTACAGTGCTTTATTTGGACAGCATACTAAGAAAAAGGTAGACAAACTGTAGACAGTCAAAGAACATTAAAACAAAAGGTTCAGAAATGAATCAGAAGATCCTTTAGCTTCTTTCTGGCACTGCACTTCATGATTTTTCCCTCCAGAACAAAGGTAAGCATCATTCCACAAGTACAAAATTATTTTACGATTTCTTTTTCTGAAAGCATTGAAAGAAATTGCATGAATGCACAGGTCTTCATTAAGTATCTCACCATCTTCCATGTAGGAATTTTAGTAGACTTCAGTTTCTCCATTTCTCTAGTTTACAATCCCAACCTCTCCCAGTCTGAGCAGTCCTTCAAAAACATGGTAAATCTTTTAAATTTTCTTTATATCCTTTCCAGGACAATGTCACTTAGTAACTGTTTATAATTCTGCATTTTCTAGTTCCTCAGTTTAGCTGTAGCTTGCAACTTGTTCGGAAAATAGGATGTAAGATCTTTAAAACTCATTTGCTCTTCTCCCTGTCTTTTAATTAGATGAAAAGAGAACCTCTGTGATATTCCTGTTTTAATTTACATCTCCTGAGGCTGTTAAATCACCTCACTGAGGCATGCAACTTCATCACCTGAAGAAAAGTCTTCATTTTATACGGTCACAGTTTATTGTGAGCTTGCTCAGAAGTCTGTAGAGAAACATCTGAAGGGCCTGAGAAGTCCAAAAACTGATCCCTATTTCCCCCAGGTATGATAGCTGGTCTAATAATAGATATTACCTTGCCCTCAGACCCATTTTAGCTTCAATGCTACCGGTATACGAAACAACAATATTTGTATCAATATATTTAATACAAATTGTTTTATTTCACTCTCATCTTTTGGGGAAGGACCACTTCCACCAAAGTAATATTCAAAACCAAATACAAAGGTAAAAAACAGTAGAATTCCTTTAGGATTTAAGTCCTTGCTTCTTGCTCATGAAGGATCCAAAACCGAGACCAAAAGGTACAGTTTCTTCATACAGAGATCCTATTAACAGCCCTTTTAGAAATTTGGCTTCTCCCTCTGAGCTCTGAATATTTAGTGGATATTAATATCCATTGTAAATATACTGCTCTAAATGAATGCAAGTATGCCAATGAAAAACAAAAAGCTGCTGATATTAGATGACCACAAAGCCCAGAGATTCCCTTCACATGCTCGAGATGTAGCCTCAAGCAGCCAGCTGTCAGAGAAGAGAGTCAACTTTTTAGAAAAGAAGTCTCCAACAACACTTCTCCATGCCTCCTTTCACTTTTTTTCCTACTTCTGCGGTATCACCCTCACTCACCTAGTTAACTTCTGTTCAATACAGAAAGCCTGCAGCCGCTGCTTTCCCATCCTGCTCCAAAAACGTTTAAGGTAAAAAGCAAGTTAAAGTATCTCTAGTCCTCCTCAGTCATCCTTTGGAAGAAAGTTTCCCAGCCTCTTGCCACTCTTGCATGTTTGAGTAGTAATGAAAAAAAGCAAGGTTATTCCACCTGGTAAACTACAAGAGATAAGACAGAAATAATATGACTGCCAGGTATATACCAACGCATAACTTATTTGCTCAGTCCTGGGGTAGAATACAGGATGGAATTTATTTCATTGCTGTTTATAGGCCAGTCAATAATCGTATAAAAATAAAGGATCCCAAACCCTTTATGGTCAATCTAACTGCAATTGAGGCTCCAGGAGAACTATCGTTTTCTGACGCAGCTGCTCTAACATACATGTTATAAAATGCTTCAAAATACTTTCACAATCTATTTAAATATCAGAAAATCATTTTTGCAGAGTACAGTATTTGTGTAAATTCACGTTATATGTTCAGCCTAGCCGGTCTCCAACCTCCTACCCCTAATCTCTATTTTGACTTACGCCATCATTTAGAATATTTACTGCATTCACTCTCACGCATGAAAATCATCTTTCTCCTCTGAAATCAGTAAAACACCTCAAAAAGAAAATTGCCAGCTGGTTTCAAGAAAGAGAGAGATTTCAAAATACAGTTCCGCCTACTGGAAAACAAAGCTTTGCTGTTAGAAAGAAAATTTAAAAAAACAGAACTGTTTAAAAAATAGTAAATAAATTAAGATTACTGAGCTTGGCACAGTTTTCAACTACAAAACTAACATTTGGCTAACAGCAGAATTTTCACTTTTGCTACCAGCGAGTAACACAGCAAATTAAGAGAATCCCCAAGCAGTTATCTACTTGGCATTCCTCAGAGAGGAAATCTGAAAGAACAGACTGCAGATTGATGGGCAATTGCATGAATTAGCTCCATTTCCTTAGAGTGGGGTAAAATTTGCTCCCTAATGCGATGGAAGAGCTAGAGAGATGTGAAGAAAAAAAGAGGCTGCAAAACCTACAGAGACCTATCATAACTAGGGCTATTAAGAAACCTTCTATTGGGGATCTGACGCTCTTCCAAGGCGCTGTTATTTCAGGTATATTCAATCCCACATCAATGGAAGAGATAGGAATTGACGGAGCGTTCTCTATGTGATAGCCTAGGGCTAGCTACCGAAGCAAGAGAAGACAAGACAGTTTAAGGACCCAGCTTAAACTCCAGCTTCCAAAATGGCGTAAAAGAAAAAAGGATGGATGAGGCTTGCATCACTATTATATCTGTATCAAAAAAAAAAAAAAAAACTATTAAAAAGCAGAAGTATTATGTTCCAATCAGAAATCAGATAAATATCCTAGAGAATTATTAAATGAGGAAAAATTAAGACAGCACAGGCAAAATGTAATTAAAGCCTTAAGAAGGCTGGGAGTTTTATGACAGAAAACTTCTGTAAGGACAACAAGACAAGCATGATGCTAAAAAAGTAGCTTGCGAATGAACATCAAACCAGTTCTGGCAACCCTTCTCGGAAAAAAAGCCGCGCTTCTCAATTCTGCTCACCTCTGGGATAAGCCGGTCTAAATGTTCAGCTCTATTTTCATGAGAAGGGTGGGTGGAAAGCCACTCTGGTAGCTTGGGCTGCCCTTGAATGGTTTCTGCTAATTCCATCTGCTGCCAAAATACACTGCTTGCTCTTACATCCACACAAGCCTGAAAGCAGAGAGGAGATGTCTACACCATCATATTTTTAAGGTACTAGAATACACAGTCTAATGTATATCGAACTACAATAGACATCTTAAATTGTAGATCTCCAAAACCTCTTCAGATGGTCCCCCTTACAACAGGCAGAAAAAAAGCTATCCTAAAATACTACAAAGTAAGAACTCCTCCATAGAGGCACTGGATCTGTTCCTTCTAACACTAATCTTAAAAATTTTACATCTGGAATAGAAGGAAAAACAATCCGGCTCACAATTTCTAGCATTTATGCCACAAATACCCTTTATCACCAAAAGAGGAATTAAGAGCAATATAGCTAAAGAGCAATTATGTTTTCCCATGGATTGTATTATTCCCCTAGACGATTGTAAAGAGCAAGGACAGTTTCAGTCCCAGAATTACGTTCATTAAAAAAAAAAAACAACTGCCTTGAAGAAATATTAATAATACTATTAATAAAAGAAAATTTTCCTTATGAAATATTAACACTAGAGGGTGCTGCTCTCATAGTTATCTAACTAACAGTTTGCTAGCTCTACTGCACTTGGCTAGAAATGATAAGTTTCTTTTTATTTTGTTTAATTTAGTTAAAATCCTCATGGACAAAAAAAAAAGGTGACTGATAAAATGGATTATGAAAAAAGTTCTGAGTCGTTTCTGACCAAATATGACTCTTACTTTAGCAAAGTCGTATTATTTGCATGGCTGTATTTAGGTTAAAATACCAGAAAAGTAGCTATAGGCTTTGTAATTATCAACAACCACAGAAAATATAAACACAATATAGAAAAGTTCTTAAATGTAACTGCATTGTTATGCAAAGAGATACTATAGATAAAAATATTTTAAGCACACTAAAATATGTTAAAGCATTCCTTCAAAGTGCTTAGAATAGATAGAAACTAGGTGAAAGACAAAAAATTAAAGTTAAATTTTATGCAATGATATAAATTGTATGTATTCTTTTTTTTTTTTTAAATGAAAGCTCACTATTTGGCTTTCTCTTCTTTATAAATATGTAGCTTTTCCCTCTAATAGTAATAAGCCATGTAGGAAGTATCCTTTACAGTTAATGAAGCTCCATTTCACAAACTTCATTTTTATTACACACAGTTTAGCCAGAATGCCTTTGTCTTCCCCTATAAACTATTCTATTTTCCTGCTACTTCATAAACCTGCATTTCTTAAAAGATTTAGGAGATCCTGAAATGGGAACAACAACAACAACCCACACAGCTTACCTCTGTATGAAGTGTGAAATTCACTCCAATTATAATGGAAACTGAAAAAATGTCTGGTAAGTTCCTAGCAAAGCAAACCATCTGTAGTTACCTTTGCTGCAAACTGAAGTCCCACTTTATCAGCTTCAGCTTCCAATGTCCTGCTGTATGGTCTATCAAAAATAAACTGGAAAGAAGCACATCAAAACAGTATTTCTTGGTTTTGAACACATACAAAGCAAGTAGCATTGTATCTATTTTTCTAATCTTCTAATAAGAAGCAGCATTTATCTATCATATTAACATTGTAATCAGTCAGTATTAATTTTTCTTAATCCAATCTTTAATTCCATTATATGTAACTCATTGATCCTGTATACAGTGGAAACGAATTAAAATTATACAGATTTTTACAGCATGTCTCATCAACAAGTTTCACAGCATTTTGCAGCACCCAAAGGGACAACGTCAACTTTAAACTGATTGATTTAAAACATTAAAAGCAAAGATTTACTATTAATTACAGTTGTGAGGAAGATTCAGTTAGAAGAAACAAGTTGATTATGCACAAAATGGAAATTTTTCACTTCGCTCTTACTGACGTTGTTTAAGACTTTAATCGTAGCACCTGTACCCCAAAAAAATCCAATTCCTCCCTTAAGCTTTTATGGGAACTGCCATATAAATCCATATATGGATTTATATGACCTACATATGTTTGCTAAACAGCCCGCAGTATCAAACATAATCATAAACATTTCCATGCAGAAATCACTCCTCTTTCATGATTATACCCCTAACACAAGTTGTAAACTGCCCTTGAGAAATCCAACTAGAAGATATTAATCTGACCAAATTCTACTCCTTTTTCTGGGGGATGACACTATTAACAGTCACTAAGGGATGTAGGCAGTTTTGCCAAATAAATATTCATTTCTATAACCAAGGATCTTCCGGCACATATAATTCACATCGTTTCGAACAGCCCTGCCCTAGTCTATCAGGTTATAGTAGAGGCTAATTAGGACTTGTTAAAACAGCTTGCTCTAGTGTGTAAACTCCTGCAGAGATTATAAGGAGTATGTCACAACATTCTGGTCTGGGCATCGGTTAGGAAATACCAACTGATGAGTGGGAGCGTGCAAGTTTAGTGTAGAGAAAAAGCTTTTACCAGCTCTTTATCTGGGTAAAGAACCATGTCCTTCTCATGCGTTCCAGGGGAAAGTTAGAAACGAAAAGTACCAAAGAAGTGGTCCAGTCCTTTGGGTACATAAAGATATCTGTAACTGCTACCGGCCAGTTGCAGACGAGCGGTTAGCCTAAACAGCCTGTGATGTGACTTCATACAGCAGTTCTGAGGCTAGATATAGTAAAAATGACTACGTAGGGTTCCAGATTTGTTTTCTTCTGATGATTATTATCAACATCTCATTAACATACAAGAGAGACTTAAACGCCAGCTCTGCAGTTTGAGAGAGTCCTGTATTTTAGGCCTGAGATTAAAGCTATACGGAAATCCGAGCATCCTGAGAAAACTTGGGCTCTCTTTCACAGTGAGTTTCTAGCCAATAAAGTCTCAGCAGCAGTCACACAGAAGAGTACAGCAGTATTCGTCTGCTACTGAGAAATGCAATTTTTAAAAAATGTTTGTGAACGTGCTGGAATAAAAAATTAGATCTGGAAACTCTGATCTAAAATCCCTGCCAGAAATTAGATGTAAGAAAGAAGAAAGATTTGATTTTCAAGTCACTTGCCAGAGCTGTGTGTATGTTAAAGAAAAGGAAGTTCCAGGTAAGCTGACAATCAGGAATCATCGGTTTCCTCATAAACACAAATCTGATAGCATTAGCTGGAGGGGAGAGGGAATATGAAGTACTATACATGTACGTACTAGTGTGTGGGATGTAAGTAAAACTCAGAGTCACATGTTGCGCTATTCCAAGAACAGTTCCTAGGCTCACGTGCTTTAGTCTCCCTACAAAGTAACTTCTGCTATAAAAGCAAAGTCAGGGTGTTTCAGTTCAGAATTATATGGCTAAACACTGTCCAGTACCAGGAGATACCACGAGAGAACTTAAAACTAAGGCAAAGACAAAATCACTAGTTTTGGAGACAAAAGCAGGACTGAAGCTAACACGCCAAAAGGCCTACCAAGAGTCACTGAAAGTTACTTACAGTGAATAGCTACAAATCAACAACAGTCATCAAGGGAAGAAAAGTAGCCTCTGAGGGCTTAGAAGAAGAACAGAGACTGAAGCAGAAGCAAGTCCTGCAGCGTGGCTTAAATAACCCAAAGAGTGGTGCAAGATACTACCATAGATAATAAGGACAGACTGGGATGTCAGAACATTAGAAAAGGAAAATACAGTTAGGGAAGAAAAGAAAAAAAAACATCCTGAGAAAATGTGCAGAAAGAACTATTTTCATGCAAGCATGATAGGTAGATGTTGAATGGCAGAAGCAATTACATATTGCATTCAGGGGTAAGGAACAGAAACAAAACTTTCTGTTCAGCACCTTTAGAATATGGGATGAAGCTTTGCCAATATTTCTTATCACTTTGTTCTGTATTACATGCAGACACATTTAATTTTATTGAAGGTGAGCCTGATAACAGTTCTAAAATGGGGCATTACCAAACAATAGATCACAGAAGATCTTTTCTATAGCAAAGCAGAACTATGAGCTTAAACTCAAATTCCATTTGCACTCTAAAGCACAATTCCAATCTATGACACCACTTGCTAAAATATCAGCTGCAGTTAAAGCAGAAGAGGAAAAAAGTTTTACAGTAAAGATGCTGAGAGGGAGCTAAAACTTGCTGTCTGAATTATGAGCAGTCTCATATTTGAGTCACTCCGCTTTTTCCAAATTCAGCTCTTCAAATTACTGGCTGGCATTCACCAATGTATAGGGTTTTTTTGCTACTGTACAAATGTTCAAGCTCTTTAGATGTAATTTATGTTCAGAATCCACACATCTACCCATTAGGATAAGAACTGCCAAAACAGATTGGTTATGTTTAATTTTATGTTTTTGACGAACCAGGGAGAAATACCAGGAAAAGCACCAAAAGAAGCCACAGAAACTAAGGAGTTCTTTCATTGCAACGCAGATACAAGTTTTATAATGCAAGTAAAATTTCTTAAAAATAAAAAAAAATTGAAAACATAAAAACCTCTGCAACAAATAGATCAATAACTGTCCAGAAGCAGACAGTAAACTAGACAGCAGAAGAAAGATGGCACCATGAAAACTCCAAATTTTACTTTACTGGAATTTATGCTGTGTGAAAAGATTATATTTCAGTAAGTTTTATTATAGTATGGTTTCCATTTTAAAAGAACATTTAGATTCTCAACTTTCTTATCTTGGAGATGTTTTCTTACCACCAACAATGTATTTAAAAGATATTCATTCCATATATTTTAGTCTGTTTAGAAACAACTTAACAGCTATTCAAGATAGAAACCTGGCACTTCAGTATCTAGAGCTTCAGAAAGTGATCTACATTTTAAAAAGACAATCATCAAACCTAACTTGGAAGCAGACAGAAAGGACTCGTCCAGTCTTAAACCCAGTCATTATTTAAGAAGATCCAAAGTTTTCCATAAGGATAAAGGACAACTCATATCAACTAAAGTAGATTTATATTTATGAAAACATACTTCCTTCAGAAATAAACCCAAACAGTTACATTTGCTTGTAATATCTCTCACCTTTTTGCCAAAATACATTATTTAGTGGTACTATCTCCCCGAGAATATAAATGAATGTTTTTCCACGCAACTAAGGAATTTTCATAAGAAACATTTTTCATAAGAAATATTTAAGCACATTGGCAACGAATGTCAGCATACAACAATTACGGAAGTAAATGTATTCAAGTAAGTTGCATGAACTGTTCCACAGTCAGTCTTACCTCCTGCAACTTGCCCTGAATCCACTGGCCAACAACTGCCAAACTATCACGAGGACAGATGGCCCAAATCATAGTGAGAAAGATGAGTGATAGGAAATCCAAGAAGTGAACCAGACTGGCCTTCTCTGCCTGAAAACAGAAACAGTTCAGTTCTCATTCCTTACTGTCTGATATAGGTTCTATACAAATAAATAAAGTTCTCCTTCTTATTACTATAAGTGTTTCGTAAAAAGTTTAACAAGTCTCAGTTGGCTCAACTGAGCCCAAGGAATCATAATGTGAATATTGTTGCTCGTCCAAAAGCATACAAGTTCCAGTAAAGCAATTCTCCTGGTTTGCCAATGCTTTTAAAATGTATTTATCCATTTCCAGACTATTTTTACAAATTTATAGGATCTTTGCATTTAAGAGTTCCTCACTGTTTTCTGAAACTAACGGGTACGTAAAGACTATGATTGCTTAAACTACCTGTACAGACAGAAATGATTTCAGAGGCAAATAAAGAAGCACTTTCTAGCAAATCATCCCAATCTAGAACGATATAAGCCAGATTTCTGTACCATCCTCTTATTTTTGTAGCTGCTCCTACAAAGCACAACAAAGTGATTGCTTTGATTCTGTGCAAATGACAAAGAACTGCCTATTTCAGTGCATTCATGTCAGGGTATGGAAAAATTAAGTCTATGAAAGCAAACATTTGTAAAAGCAGAATCAAGTTTCAGGCATTCTGGAGTTCATCATTCTAAAACTGTGGGCTACTCTAACAAAAATACCACATACTTTAAAAGAATATATTAAGCTATATCCACTTCTGAGGGTATTAACAAGTCTAGGAGTAACAAACTGGGTTGCTGTGTGCCTCCAGTTCCTTATGTCTGCACCACAGAAGGAGGGACATCTCCAGACTAAGTTCTAAACGGTTACCAATAGTGAGCCATAATTCATCTGCACAGTTACGAAAAAAAAAAATACTGACAGACATTGTGCCAAAACTACTGTAGGACTTCTGGCAGCTATCAAGAACCACATAAAGTTCTAAGGATGTACCGTATGAGAACGCTCTCATTTCAAACAGTATTTCATTAATGAGGAAGACTCACACTGAAACTCTGCTCGGCAGTGATAGGGAAACTCTTAATTAGAAGAAGTAATCAGAATTAATTCAGGAATTTTAGAAAGCCTTATTTAAATAAATACTTACTGCATGTTCCAGCACAGCATGAGCTATTTCATGTCCCAAAATGAAAGACAACTGGTGAATATCAGAAACTGCGTTTAGCAATCCTGTGAAAACAAATACTTGTCCATTCTGTAAAGAAAAAGTGCAATTTTACATAGAAGATATACAAATAAATTGTTAATATTGCTAATAATTTTTGCATTGGGATTCAACTTACCGGAAGCACAAAAGCATTTACACCTGGTTCTTCAACCACATGGATAACCCACTTCTGCTGAGAGACCTGTGGGATGTCCTTATTGCTTTCAGATAAATGACCAACAACTCTTTCTACAACCTGATAGCGTGCATCTGTTTCAGGTAACATTTTATTTTTGAACTCCATCATCCACTGAAACAAAAATGAATTGATGAAAGTTTGATGAAACAAAAATTCAATTCATTGCCATGCAGAATAAAAATACAATAAATGACTAACTGGTAAACTAATTTAGTGACTACATACGACTTAGTAAAGATCTAAATCGATAGTAAATACTTTGATTCGACGTGTGATAATACTGCTTTCATCCATTCTTCATCCATACAACCAAAGCCAATATATTACAGTTCAGACTTTCAAAGCCACAAGTTTAAGCATTAACCTAAAAAAGGAAGTAAACTGAGCACAGATCACGAATTAGATACTGTAAATCTGGACGTACAGTCTCCTATCTCTGAGGCATTCCTAATGCACAGTTAGGCACAGCACCACAATTTGGCGAACCTTTCTATATACTCCTTCTGAAATCCTATTTAAATTTATCATTTTTCTATGTCTGCATTTATTTTGTAATATATAATGTGGAAACAATTATATAAAAGACAAGTCATCCATATCCTTATATTTCTTTCATTCTGTTTACTTATCTCACATTCTCTGCGACACAGTAATACAGTGATGTCTGTATTACTGATGTGTGTGATGTGTGTATGGCTGGACTGACATTAGAAGAGAAGGTTACAGAACTTACAGAAAGTTACAAAAATTAAAGCAATGGATAGTCTAGAAGAAAGCAACTAAACAGAGATTAGCTGATCAAATGAAAAAGAAGGCGTAAAACAGAAGGCGTTCTGAATGGTGGAGAGTATTACCTTACAAGGTGACAACTGAGAACAGAGGACCTTAAACAAGACCCAAAGAGCGCTCAAACCAGTGAAGAAAATGAGATAGGTCTGAGCATGTATCTATTAGCTATGCTTTTACTGCTTCTACATGATCGTTACACTTTTTGTTATACTACAATCACAGTGCTGGAAATGTTGGCTTCATTCCTGCAATCTGTTCTTTAGCCATCATGCGTTCCTGAACTCTGAAAAGGAATTTAGGTAAGCGATGGGGGTGTTCTGGGAGGTTCAGAGCATGAAGTGCAGCAAAGTACTGTAAAGTTCTCCTTTCTGATAAGGGATAAAAGAGAATCTGACTGCCAGGAAGTGTGCCAGAGGAAAGAGCTAGAGCCTTTACTTTCAAGTTCAAGGCTTATTAAGGACACCACTTGGTTTGTTTGCCCATTTCAATAACTGGACTATCTCATCACTGAAAAAAGCAGTAACAGTTTTAGAGTATTTTTTAGTTTACTTTCAAATCTTACCATATCATACTCCATCTGTGACAGTTCCCTAAAATGTTCTTTTCCAAACACCAACAGCCGAGCACGCCCTGTGATTGGTGTCTCTTCCAAGTGAGTAAAATAAAACACGATAAATAAAACTCCTAAGCTACTGACACTCAGGAGTATCTTCCATTTATTTTTCCTTGCACTTTCTTTGAAGAGTTCCCGTTTCCTAGGAGGAAGTGCCTTCCACCAGCTTCTTATGCTCCTGTAAGATACAAACACTGTCAGTCTAAGCAGCAGTTAAAAATGGGGTTAAGTGTCTGCCCTTGCTCCACTCCCTATTACATTCTCACCTCATGTGAGAGTATACGAAAGGTTATACTCTACTCGCCTCCCCTACTCCATTCCCCTTCCTCCATCACACAGGAAGGAGAAGCGATGCCCCTTGGTATCTTGTTTCATCTCCCTTTATCATGTGCAAGCATGAATGAAAAGAGCAAAAGATAAATCTAACACCTCTGATAACAGAAACAACCTTCTTAACATCGTTGAGCAAACTGTCATTTTCATTCTTTTTCCATTCTCTTGTAAAACAAACCACTTTTAGCAAAACAATTTTCTAAATTCCTTTCAATTCTAAATTTTCAGAACTGTAGTTCTGAAAAACTGAAAAAGTTTTGTTTTAAAGATGTTGCCATTACAACTGGTAAGAGATTAGTGACGATGGGGTTTTTGGCTTATAGTTTTATCTGCTTCCATGTAAAGCTCTCTCGAGCTCCCAAATCACTCCGTTTGACTTTCAAATAACACTTGGAATTCTGGTTTTGTAACCCGCAGAACACGCACAGGATGACAAACATGAACTTAGCCCTGCAGTGCCAGAGTGCCTATGCTTCCCACAGACTCAAGGCACTGCTGCCCAAAACTCAAGATTATTCACCAGAAAACCCAAGAAATCAAAATACCCCTACTTCCCAACATCAAGTGGCACGGGGACCACCTGGAATCCAGAAAACAGCAAGTGTCCTGGACACTCCCCACTTCCAAATCACAGTCCACATGCCATGGAGTTAGAAGAAACCCCAGAACAGTCACCCCAGCCCTGAAATATCTAGAATACACAGAAGGCTGTGGAGCACGAAAGCGTGCAGTGCCCAGAGAGTCTTGGGAAGCAACAATATCACATGAGTGCTTTGCATATGCAGTTATGGCTTGCTGGTACTCCACAGGATCCTACTTTGCTGTGGAGTGCTCAGCATTCCTGAAATTCCAGATTAATTTTCAAGCCCGATTTTTAATGTCTTTCTCAAGGATAAAGAAAACATTTTTCTAATACAAAGCTACCACAAGTACTTCCCATAAACTCACAGCAATTTTACTTATAAGCAGGTAAAGACTGGTTCCTAAAACTGGAATAAAATCAGATGTACAAGCTGAGCACCCAGTCTTGAGAAGCTTTACATAAATACTCAAATGGAAACACTTCATGTACACATACCATTCTCTATGAACAACAACGAGCACATGCACAAGTCCTTGCGCAATGGAGGTCTTACTGTCAGAGAGGAAACAAGATGGTATTTTACCTGCCAAGAATGATAGCAAATAATTTCTGAGCTGGTTTAATGATAATCCAGAAAAGAGGAACTGGAGCAGCCTGAAATGACGGTGATACGTGGAAAAATCTGATGATCCGGGCGTTCCAAGCAGAAAAACAATTTGGGAGTTGCACAAGAGAACTGATTTGGAGGGATGCGCTCTTCTCCACCAGAGGCTGAGAAGACCGGAAGCAAGATCTTGCAGAAATGTGGTGTGCATTCTTGCAAAGTTCTGTATTTACAACATTCAAAAGATGCCTCGGTCCTTTACCAAATGAGTTTCCATAGTAGTTAGGGTTTCCAGTCAAAAACCAGTTTCTAGTATTTCCACTCAAATCTAGCCTTCGGCATCTATCTAGTACACAACTGACTCGAATTGGGCAGTGTCTTGCACAAGACCTATAGAGGTTATTGCATTTCCCCCGTTTGGTCAAAGAAGTCAAATGAAAGAAAATACAGTTCCCGCTTGGAAACTTTAGACCACAGACGATATTCATATCCCCTTTTGCTGGCTACCCTGAAACAAAACAAAAACAGCATAGGCATAGCAAGGAAAACCATCTAAACAGGAAACCCTGCAACATCATTTCCCGCTGAACAGATACCATACAGCTGTTTGCCCACACTTGGGTTGTACAAAAAAAGGTCACAGTTACAGCTGCGCCCTGTTGCAGATTTAAGGCAGGAATCTGTTTAAAAGTGTAAAAAAAAAAAAAGTAAATATTTTACATGTTATAACTGAGAACAAAATGAAATATTTTTATTTTTTATTTATTTTCTTCCTCTTTAATCACCAGGGCGGTAACAGGTGCCCCTTATGGCAAAGGCTTAGGCGCGGCATCACCTTCCCCTGCTCGGCTCCTTGCCACCGGCGCTGCTCACACGCGCACTCGGGAGCGGCGAGGCGCGTTTAGCCGTTTGCTAACGCCTCTCCTGCGACAGAAACCATCTCCACCCCGCGCCGCCCGGCCGCGGCCCTCTTACTCACCCGGCGCGGAAACACCCTCCCGCCCGGGGCGCGGCGGCCG